CCTTGATGTTTCAAAATGAAAACGTTCAAAATTATTCATACGATTCTCGGCACTAAGCTCTAAGTTATAGACACAATGCCAGAGTGATATTTCATTAATTACTTTTGCTTTTCCGTTAAAGGCAAGCGTATTTCGGCAATTGCTAAGAAACCCAAAGCGTCAACACTGAAGTTTTCAATGAACATTATTTCGTTTGATGTCATTGACCAAGGAATGTATCGTAGCTTAAACGTGATAATCTGGACCTCACTGACGAACATAAGTATGCCAATTCTTTAAAATATATTCTAAAAGTTGGTATCAATTCATATGCATTTGTCAACCACAAACCTAAACAATACCTCCAACCCCTTTCCAAAGTAAATAATAACTTAATAACTTTCTATTTGATCATAGTAGACTGAGTTTCAGATTACATAAAACTAGACCAATGCTCTAGTTTAATACATACAGTTGTATATGCTTGAACTAAAGTAAGATAAGTTGACAAAATGCTCGATTCTTCGTAATATATTTGTAATTAACACATTGTTTCTTCAAAAGTTAACACAGTGTTTTGTGATGGTGCTGGTGGTTTATGGACAGTTGTCACCGCTGGTATCAGAGCATTGTGAACGTGACACGTATTCTTTATTACATGGGCTGCCTAGTCCACATTCTGCAATACGTTCTTGTAACTGAACAACCTGAATGAAATGGTATTCGTATAGGAAAATTAAATTGTTGGTGGTTCGTAAAATATATATGATTGTTGGACACTTTGGGAAATCGATTTTCATGCTACATTGTGTAAGTAACGCGTATTGAGCATTGCATGATTTAATTTACTTCTTTTAAGAACACTTCGATTGACAAGATCATGATTGTGGTTTTAAAGGTTTACTAAATGAGTGCCAAAGATCTTTCGGTAAAACGGTCCTCCTTTGGCTGTGAAACGATATACAACGATAGTAACAAACACAGGTTTGACCTTTCAGCTATCTCGACATTTTCAACTTTACATCCTGCGAGAAGGAAGGAACTTTGTACTATACCATGTCCATGGCCTATGCCCAACCGAGGCTTGAGTTCGAACCACCCTGGTACGTTAAATCACAACAGCAAAATCACTGCATATAGCATTAAGCCAGGCAATTTATCGACTGATCTTACAGCAGCATTTTGATAACAAAATCATTTAGATATTACACTTACATATATCATACACAGAAAAGTAGCAATCATGTTAACCAAGCATATATTCTCTTTTTGAAGGTTATCTGATTCCCAATAAATATCGTTTTTTAACTACAATATTTGATCGCTTGCCAAAGATATGCACTGGGATGCAGTCCGATTGCATTTTATTTAGGCCTGACTGTAAAAATAAATAACATTATAATGATTATATATTTTGTTTACTCCAGCCTCTGATAAGCAGAGTGGGTAAGTTAGTATCTTTAAAATTATAAATGTGTCACAGTTTCATGTTACTGAGAAACAGAAGAACTTTATCAGTTATTTCCTGTTTTATAAAAGTATCCACAATCATACAAACAGGAGTGAGTGAGTGAGTTGGGTTTAATTATTCCAGTTATATGTGTGCTTAATTTGGAAGGAAAGCCCGAAGTGATGTAGGCATGCAACTATGTACCTCAATTCCAAAAGTATCAAAAACAGCAAGAAAATAAACCTATTAATGTTATTTCAGATAACGGGGAAGATCATAATGAACTAGTCTCTATTCATGAACTCTATGTACTGCCCTTGGACAAGCCTCTTGATACTGCTACAGGAGGTGATAACATTCATTATCAACTCCTGAAGCACTTAAAAGAATCATCTTTAGAAACACTATTGACTATTTTTGATGAAATTTGGACGACAGGGAAATCGCCTCCTTCGTGGCGTGATGCTATAGTAATACAAATACCCAAACCCGGTCGAGATCATACATACCCTTCAAATTATCGACCAATATCATTGACAAACTGCGTTTGCAAAACCATGGAACGCGTGATATCTAATCGACTAGTTTGGCACCTAGAATCCAATAATCTTATTACAAATATACAATGTGGTTTCCCTTGAACAGAAGTACGATAGATCATTTAGTTCGCTTTGAATCAGTTGTTGAAAATGCAATAATAGATAAGCAACATGCAGTGTCTATCTTTTTTTTTCGATCCAGAAAAGGCACACGACACGACCTGGAAATGCCGTATTTTAAGACATTTTCATGATTTGGGATTATGAGGCCGTTTGCCTCAATTAAGGCAAAATTGGTTCTCAGGCAGAAATATCGTGTGGAAGCGGTGCCTTTTTGGGGGGTTGTGTTTTCCGCAACCGAAAGGCATTACTCTGAGCACGTAAGACCGGAAATACCATGTCAACAAATCCGTACGTATACCCGAAGTACACAAATTAATCATGTAATTACGCTGTCGGGTTGTAAAAAGAGTTCATAATAAACTTATTTCTTAATCTTTTTTTAATTTTATTCAACATTTCATTCAATATTCTTTCAATTCGTTTTGGAGAAATCGTATGTGAAGTGATCGGAAGATCGCACAACTCACCGTTATTTACAGCAAACAGGGTCATATTACCGCTATTTACGCCTTGAAACGAACTTTAGTGTATAGAGAATAGATCTTTATATCATAAATGCCATACATTGAATCGCTGAAAGTCATATTTGTTGTAGTTTGACTATTATATGTCAACATATAGTTTAGTGATGTGTTATCTCAAATTTCAAATTTAATACAAATTTGAAATTTGAGATAAAACATCACTAAAGATAATGTTTTATATGCAGAGATTTAGATAACCGTGCGTCATATCTCTTAAGCTGAGTCGGAAGTAGCAATCAGCTGTGCACACGTTTGTATCTACCAGTGATTCGGTCAAAAATTGGATCTACCAAATACTATAATTTAAAGAATTTTGATACAATGAGCGGAAGAATTGTATCTGAAACTAATTTTTATCAGGAATAATTTATTCCAATATCATGTTAGTTGCAGCTCTGCTAGTTTAATTGTTATAATCTGTTCCGTTTTCCTAAATTCGCTGAAGGGCTACAATGTAATTTTTTTCTACGGAAGACAAACACATTTTGATTGCAAATGTAGGGATTTTGTATCTGCTTCATTCCGATTCGCTTTATAGACGGTGTACACAAATAAGAATCGATTTCCAGCTTATTTTACAAGACAAATAACCTTGTGCGTATGAAACATTGTCCCTCATACAGTACACACAAACCAATGAATTTGTTTTTGAATACCATCATCATGTCTAGTGATGTTGTATTGCAAATTTAATGTTTTCATTTGCAAACAGCAAAACAAGCGCACAAACTCCTTTTGCCGCCATGGCCATAACACACAAGATGCCCAGGAAAGCAGTGCGCATGAAAAGGGAAGTAACTGCACGTTATATTCGATCGCATTGTTTTTAAGTATTGTAGCATTTCACAGTTGAGGTCATGTGTTCGAGACGCGGAATATTTAAGGATTTCATTTTGGAAAATGGAAATAAAACGAAACGTGCGGCGGACTTTATGATGATGCGGCGGTGCCTGAGAACTACAAATATTTTTTTCCAGCTTTATATCCGAATTTTTAACTTACAGGCAGTGGATGGGTTCCACCCTGTCTGATCAGGGTGTCCCACAAGGCAGTATCTTGTCTGTCACATTGTTGAGTATTAAAAAAATGGTTTATCTAAAGTTTTAAATGATTCGATAGATGGATCGCTCTTTGGGGATGATTTAAATATTTCTTGTCGTGGCAAAAACATGCATACTATTGTAAGGCAACTGCACCTTTATTCAAATATAACCCCGGAATGGTCTTTAGAAAATGGTTTTAAATTTTCAAATCTAAAACAAACTGTGTACATTTTTGCAGAAAATATAAACCCCACAAAGATCCAGAATTAATTTTAGGTAACACTCCCAATATAGTTGTAAAGGAAGCCAAATTCTTAGGTCTAATTTCGATCATCATTTGACTTTTCGGCCCCACATTAAATACTTAAAGAATAAATGCTTGAAGGCCCTAGATTTATTGAAAGTTGTCTCCCGTTCTTTGTGGTGAGGGGATAAAAAAAGACCTCCTCCAACTTTATGTAATACTTATCCGCTCTAAACTTAATTATGGCTCCATCATCTATGGTTTTGGCTTATAAGAGCAATTTAAAATTACTTGATACTATACCTTGGAGCCTTCTGAACTTCGCTTGTTCATAGTTTGTATGTGGCACCTTCCCTTTAACACCGTCGCATTTAATTAGCTCTACAATATATGTCGAAATTACGTTCTAATGATTCCAATCCAGCATATGACTGTGTTTTTAATCCCCTTCATGGCAATCTCTACAAAACAAAATCGTCTCTTATTTCACTATTTGTGATAAGACTACAAGCAGATATTTCTGCTGCTAAAACATATCTTGATAATATAGCCCCCATCAGCTTCTCTCTTCTCCACCATGGCAGTTAGTACATCCAGAGGTGGACCTAACATTAACGAAACTAAAGAAATCTGACACAAATCAAATAAGCTATCAACAACAATATAATGAATCATGAAGCACATGTGACACTTACAAATCTGTAATTACAGATGGATCCACGGATGGTGGCATTGTTGCCAGCGCAACTGTCATTGGATCCAGGACAATCGCATCCCGATTTCCAGATAACTTCTATTTTAGCAGCGGAAGCAGATGCTAACTCGCTAACTTGGTTGATGCATGCCATCGTATCCCAAATGTGTAGACAGATGCTTATTTGTTGATTGTCTGGTCCAGTTCATACAGTTCAGACAGTTCATACAGTGATATATGGTCTCAACTGACATCGATACACAACTGATCAAAGGGTTGTGACTTATGTTCCATTAAGGACCCCATGCACTTTGAGATAACCTGACGTTTTCACGTTGCTAAATTAGCTGCCAAGGTCGTTAGTGATAGTTTTGTAATCAAAAGTAAAACACTAAAGATGTGAATCGTGTTCAAAAGGTTTATTGAATACAGATTTGTCTCGATGCCTTCTACACATTTTATTGCTTTCCAAGACAGCAGCGGTCGGTCTCTCTGAAATGAGAAGTATATGATTAAGACAAGAGTAGAGGCAAGAACATAACTATCATGTTCCTCCCTGTATGTATTGGGGGTACATGTGGCCCAGTAGCCTAAGGCGTGGCCAATTGCTGTGCAGAGTTGCGTCCCTTTGGCACACCAGAAACCTGATTTTGGTTCTAATCCTGGTTCGCAATGATTATGTATCTTGGTTTGTCAGCACCATATCCGTGCTTGTCGGTTTCACCGAAGTGATAAAGGTCTGACGCCTACATCACTTCGGGCTTTCCTTCCAAATGAAGCAGACACGCTTGGATATAACTGGAATAATGTTAAAAGCAGCATTCAACCCAACTCACTCACTCACTCCTGTTTGTATGATTGTGGATACTTTTATAAAACAAGAAATAACTGATAAAGTTCTTCTGCTTTTCAGTGACATGAAACTGTGACACATTTATGATTTTTAAGATAAGAACTTACCCATTCTGCTTATCAGGGGCTGTAATATACAAAATATATAATCATTTTAATGTTATTTATTGTTACAATCACCTCTTAATACAGGTAGACGTTGTTGCTCTACCGGATATTTCTCTTTTGACAACACGATTGATTGATAGTCCACCCTACCTCATTCCCAGTTCCTTATAAGGACGTGGGACACGTCCTTCTTTACAGAAATGGCCTATATATTTTAACGGGGAGTCTATATACGTTTCATGTATTCCCTCAGTAAGTACGTTGGTTGATTATATCTATTTAAATATTCAAAGTGCTGCCAATACATATTATAATAGCAGCTGGGATATCCTTACCATGGCCAGCAGCACAGAGTCATGTGCGAGACAGCGGGTTGTTATTAATGCCAGAGAATGGCCGGGTGGCCACTGAAGCTTTACTTTGTGGATGAGGTGTGGGATACTGCAGGCTGACCATATATGTAATGAAACACGATATATGGCAGTCTGACAGCGAGGGGTAAAGATAGTGCGCTTTCTGTGAGTCAAGACTTGACCCTCGGACAGCGGCTAGGCAGGCTGGCCCTCTTACGCCTCAGAGATCCTGCCTGGCCATACTACTGTAGCTAGATGACAAAGTAAGATCACCAATAAACGTTGTGGACCCACAGACGGACTTGTGTTGTCAAAAGAGAAATATCCGGTATAGCATCAACGTCTATCAGGGATATATATATATATATATATATATATATATATATATATATATATACACAGTAAAAAAAGTGTTGCACCCCCTATACTTTTTCATGGAGGGGTGTTTTGAAAGGGTGTAAAGATAACCGAATGAATATTATAACCAGGATTTCGTGTATACCAACAAACCAGTGTATTGTCTATACAATGAACTTAAATGGGGTATTCCATGACCTTATGGCATGTAATAATCTCATGCTGAACTTTTACGAAAAATGAACGAACAACGAAGACGCATTAAGTATGGTGACATCTCAATAATTTTTAGTGACCAAATTCATCCAATAGGGTAAGAATGTCATATGGAGATTTGACGAACACAGTAAGTCAATATCGAGAACTTCCACCAAGCACTTGGATCACAGCTTGAAGTCTTCGTCTCATACTCCTCACCAGGACGTTGGAATCGCTCCATGGGCAGCTGCTGCCACTCCTCGTGTAATGCTGCTTCCAATTCACGCAAGTTCTGTGGAGGAGGGTCCCGACGATAAATCAGGCGTCCCAAAATGTCCCATACATGTTCCAGAGGATTCAGATCTGGACTCATTGCTGGCCATGGAATCTGCGTCAGAGCATTGTTGTGGATAACCTGGGTCACAGCTCGTGAACGATGTGGTCTGGCATTGTCATCCATGAATATCGGTCTGGTGGCCAGTGGATGATTGTCAAAATGGGGCACCACAACTGGATTCAGCACCTCTTGGATGTAGCGCTCCCCTGTCAAGTTGCCTCGTATGGTCACTAAATCAAGCTTACAATCAAATGAGAAGCATCCCCAGACCATAACAGATCCACCTCCATATGGTACAGTTGGCATGATGTTTCTTGCAGTATAAGCTGTTCCAGGACGCCTCCATACTCTCACTCTGCCATCCACAACATGCAGAAGGAACCTGCTTTCGTCCGACTAGTGGACTCTTCTCCAGGACCTCAAGTTCCAGTTCTGTCTCAGTCTACACCAGGCTAGACGTAGTCGTTTGTGGTTGTCAGTGAGTTTAGGTCGCTTGATAACCCTTCTGGACTTCAACCCTGCAGCTTTAAGACGATTTCTCACGGTCTGGGTACTGAACTGTTGACGAGGAAGCCAAAGACGTTTCAAGGTTGTGCTTGTAGCAAATGGATGACGCCTTACCACCCTCAACAACGCTCTGTCATCTCTAACTGTGGTCTTACGTGGTCTGCCAGAGGGTCTGCGATTCCTTACATCATTAGTTTGTGCGTGTTTTCTGACCAAACGGCTTATTGTTGAGTAGTGATGTCCGGTTCTTCTGCCAATCTCCTTGAACGAAAGACCTGCTCCATGAAGGCCAATAATCTGCCACTTGACTGCTTCTGACAATCGTCTACCCGGCATTGTGGGTTACAATAAACTGGGCTGTCAGAGAACATCTTTTATACTGCAATCTGCAAATGTCATGCACCATGCAATTCACGTGCTGATTGCTACGTTTTGGTGATCATCTTCCCTCAGAAAACATTACACATTTAACATCAGATCCCCAAGGAATACCTACCATTAAAACCAGAGTCGTTTTAAATGTTGTGATGTATCAAACGTATTAATGTGGGGGTGCAACACTTTTTTTACTGTGTATATATATATATATATGACTGTATCCAAGTGCACTTCTTTGGCAAGGGATCAAATATTGTAGATAAAAAAAACGATATTTATTGGGATAACCTTCACAGTGAGAATCAATGCTTGGTTAACATAACTGCCTCTTTTCTGTGTATGGTATATGTAACTGTTATACTTAAATGATTTTGTTAACCAAATGATGCTGTTAGATCGGTCAATGATTTCCCGGGCTACATGTTATGTGCAGTGATGTTGCTGTTATGATTTAACGTACCAGGATGGTTCGAACTCGAGCCTCGGTTGGGCAGAGGCCGTGGACGTGGTATAAGTCAAAGTTCCTTCATTCTCGTAGGATGTGGAGTTGAAAATGCTAAGATGGCTGAAAGATCAAACCTGTGCTCGTTACAATCGTTGTATATCGTTTCCCAGCCAAGATCAAATGAGGACTGTTTTACAAAACGAGTTTTGGCACTCACTGAGTAACCCTATAAGAACCATAATAATGATCCAGTCAATTCGATGCACATGACGCGTTACTTACACAATGTTCTGATACTAATGGTGTCAGTTGTCACGAATTATAAATTTGTTTGTCAAGACAAACCAGAAACAGACTCGACTAAATTAGATGATGACCGTATGTACTTGAGTCTGAATTTTGCAACCAAGGAAATTGATACCTTAAATTTAAGTAACATTTTCAAACGAAAATCATTTTCCCAAAATGTCGCACAATGTTTCAAATTATAGGAACGACAAACAATTTCATTTTCCTAAGTGAATTCCATTTCATTCAGGTTGTTCAGTTACAAGAACGTATCGCAGAACGTGGACTTGGCAGCCCATGCAATACACAATACGTGGTACGTACACAATACTCTAATACTCATGGTGTCAACTGTCACGAATAATAGATGTGTTGTTAAGACATACATAATTTGATACATTGAAGTTATATTAAGCTTTCAAAGTTGAATGAGCGACGCTCTACATGTTGACTGATTTTAGAGTATTTGAAGTTTGAAGTGAACATTAGACTTTATTAAAATGCTCACTGTACACCAGTGCTCATCATGATACAACTAATGGTGCAACATACGAGGCAATAATTTACATCAATCAAACATATAGATATCAGGATCTAACATATCAGGGTTTTAGTGGCAATACATGGTACTAATTGTGGACGGTGTTTAAGAGCAAATGAAACCGCCAGGTAAAGGTTGCCTTGCTTACCTGACAGAACTGGAGGCCACGTAGACAAGCGATGAACAGCGGTTGACCTTGACGTCCCTACATTGTACACTACAGTCCAGCAGCTTGAAACATGCGGTGACATCGTTGTAGATCCATAACGCACCAGTATCATCACAAAACACTGTGTTATCTTTTGAAGGAAATGTGTCAAGCCGTGTGTTAATGACAGCTTTATTACAAAGAATAACACGGAGCATTTTGTCAACTTATCCCAGTTAGTTCAGGCATATATGTATTAAATAACTACAGCATTGGTCTGGTTTCATGTCATCAGAAACTGAGTCTACTGTGATCAAATAGAAAGTTATGAAGTTATTGTCAACTTTGGAAACGGGTCGGAGGTATTGTCTAGGTTTTGAAATGACAAAAGCATATGGATTGATAGCACATTTAAACTCATGTTTTACAAAAAGGCAAAGTTCTGTTTGTAAACTTCAGTGAGGTCCTTATTCTCAATGTTAAGCTATATGCTGTATGATACATACCTTGGTCAATGACATCAAACGAACGCATGTTCATTGAAAACTTCACATTGGTTTCCAAATCGGCGACAGCAGTTGGCCTGAAGCTTTGAATTTCTTTGCAACTGCTGAAATACACTCGCCTTTAACGGAAGAAAGAAGTTATTTAATGAAATATCACTATAGCGTTGTGTCAATTCTTTAGTGCCTATTTGTCCAACAATCGTATGAATCACTTTGAACGTTTTCATTTTGAAACATCAAGGAACAATTTATTTGGTGTCAAGGTCAGAACCTGTGTATGTTATCCAACGTGAACTGTACATTTCCCCCGTTTATGGCTTTGTGCGCTCTTTAAAGACATTGAACAACACAAGTAGTGACTGGTAATATGGTAGAGAGATCCACATGCCAATTATAGAATTGCTTACTAGTGATATGCTATGATTTTTTAAAAGACAAATCACTGAAGTCTAACCTCACATAGATTTTTCAAGGGAAATAAATCAATCCATGAAAGAAGTAAAAAGTAACCTGGCTTCGGCTGTAAGCGAGGTTAAACGCGTAGATAGCCGCTTTGGCTGTTTGGCTCATGTGAGGCTAGACATTGTCACATTTGTCAGGAGTACATGTTGTGCGTCCTTCTTGATATTGAAAAAGCTTACGATATGATTTGGCGACAAGGGTTGCTAATCAAATTACAAAAGCTTGGTGCAAAAGGTAACATGTTAAGATTGATACAGTCATTTCTGTCTGAAAGGGTCACCCAGGCAAGTACGAGACAGTCTAACAATATGTTGTCTGGTGGATATAAACATTAAAACAAAACATATGTATGTATCACTTTGGAATCGTTTCAACATTTCTTTTTCTTTTAGATTTGCTGCTGTCTTATTGAAAGAGGATCGCCGTTTTTCTTAACAAAATTGTGTTTGCTTGATGATTAAATCCTTTTCATTACTTCGAGGATCCTGTCGAGGATTAAGCTCTACCCTCACTACCACCACCAAAAGTAAAAAGTATTCTGAAAATAATTGTTTTCGAAGTAAATAATTAACTTGTTATTTAATACAAATATTGATATATAGGATGGGATGGAAGTTTTAGCTAGTAGGTTTTACTCTAGAATAGGTAATACTTTGCTGATTGTGTACTTCTGTCGAATATTTCTCGTCAATTTATGCCTGAGATATATTAAACTTCTCATTCACTAGGTGTAGTTTGTAACATACACAGATCTATTATACCCACCCATCATAACTTCTGACAGTTCCAGGACAGGGTACACTGCGAAGATGCGTCACACTTCCACCAGAAATCCTCGCAATGTCATTGATAAATCCAATAAAATTCTCAAGGGCAACGAATATTTTATCATCAAGATAAGCAATGCCTTTCACTCTTGTTGCAGACGTAGAAAAAGCTAGACAGGGCAGAGACAAACATAATTATGACAAAGCAAAGAATCCAATATAATCTGTAAGCATTTTGTCAATATCAGTCATTTATCTGGTGATTATACTGCTTCTTATAGGATTGTTCTTACATGTAGATAAAAGTGATAAACCCTTTTCATAATCATAAGCAATCCGTGAGTGAGTGAGAGAGTTGGGTTAAACGCCTCTTTGAACAGTATTCCAGTTATATCACGGCGTGTCAGCTTAATATGGGAGGAATGTCGGAAGTGATGCAGGTCTCAGACGTTTACAACTTCGGTGAAACCCAGAAGCATGGATATGATGCTGATAAACCTGGAAACATAATCGTGGCGAACCAGGATTCGAACTGCAATCATAAGTCTCTGGCTTATCCAAGGGACGCAACTCTGCACAGCGTATTGCAGCGACTTACACAACTGAGCCACCCATGCCCCGTACAAGCAATCTGTGCTAAAGCAAGTCGATTGTACTGTTCCGATTACATCATTAGTTTGTGTTTGTGAATCGATATTAAATAGTGATGATACCACGAAATGTTCACCTAGATCACAGACTATCCGTTTTATAACACGAAGTTTCAACCAACCAAAATTAAAATGATGTGAACATATTAGTGTTAGATTGATGTGTATATTAGTTCGATTGGCAAGAAGCAGGTATTGAGGGTGGAATGACTTACTATATTCTACAGTTTCATCCTCACTGGGAAGGGACAGTTGATTAACCGTAAAAAATGCCCCATTGCTGCCGTAATAGATGGAGTAATCGCTATTATTGGCTCCAACAACTGTAAGAGGCCCGACAGTACGATTCGCTTCTATATTTGGCAGGATGGTTCCAACTGGGTCAACCACAGCAATATCAGATGAATCGAATCCAGAAACAAGGGCAGCGCATCCCTCGACTGTAAAACATCATAGCAGATCGTTTGTTCATAAATGAAAAGAATAATTGGTCTTGTAACACACAAATGTGTTCTTACTTTTTCCAGTAATATTTAGTATATTTTGAGTTACTTATTCATGCAGAGCCTTACCATATGTTTTGCAATAGTTATTATGGTATCCCAGATAAATAATCAATATGTAATCAAGGCTTGTTTCTGATGAAAGACAACAATTTGAGACTCATTTGGGGAAAGGGCCGGGGGGAAGCATCAATAAAATGTTTTTGAAGAACAAATGACAAATGATACATTTTTTGTACCATGTTATGTTGTTACCAGTAACAAACCATCAGAAGAGAACGTATGTACATATGCATTATAGTTCATGAAAGACCATACGATTTCCTAAAGTTCTACAATTACAAAAGTGAAAATTATCCTAATATATGTCATACCAGTTTTCCAGAAGTACAAGTAGTACACGCGTACAGAATGACGTGGTGAAAAGGATTTATGACTAAATCACCAAAATATAATGTGTCTGAGTTGGGACTTTGTTTTTCTCTAGTACTCTGAGCACTGCCAGCTCAAAAGTATTTTGTGTTATTTCACATGGCAATATTGTCTCATTTGACAACAACAGGAGGGTTCAGATGCACGATCTCTTTGAGTTTCCTTCTCTACTTACGGGGAGAACAATCATACTGTGGTATACTGGTTTTGTCAGATCAAAAGGTCTGATGACTGTCAGCTCAAAAGTATTATCATCTGATATCTTTTGTCAACAAGAAGGCGTTTCAGATGTACACTTTCTGCGATTTTACCTTTAGTTCGCTTCTCTACTTACGTGCAGGACAGTCCGTTGATTGATCCCCGATCAATGCTGTGAGATTGTTGATAAGATCACAAAGTGTGCTGTTGAGGGCTTCGAGATCACTTTCAAAACAATCCCCTGGAGCTAAAACAGAAATATGCAGTAACTGTCATTATCTACTATAAACCAACACTTTGTGTTTGTCGCTGTTTATTGACGAAAAAGATAATGCTGTCATCAGCCGTACATGGAACTTCCGTGCTTAAACACGCGTGTAAATATAGAAACATCTGCAATTGCAAACCTTTCAGCTTTCAATAAGTAAGATGTCATCACGTTCTCTGTAAAGGGCCCAGTTATTCTCTTATGTGCAATGCCATATTGGTTCTATAAATCTCCTAGAGAGTGATGTTTAGACAATGTTTATCCAACCTATCAAATGTTCATGAAATGGTATGAAGTATGGAGAAAAGAGTATCGAGTGAGATTATAGCACATGTGTCTCTAATACCAACAATTGGAGAATTGACATACGCAATCGTTGCACCGGAGATCATGGACAAATTATGATTAATGAGAAAATGAACAGAAGACTTTTGTTTACTCCACAATCTGCAATGTTCGTTATAATATATTATGGTTTCCTGACAAAAAGTCACAAAACCAGCCAATACCTACCAATGATTTGGTCGGTTTGCTGTTTTACGCCCCGGAGGTATTGGTGTTTTTAGGTGTTGGTTTGATCGTGGTTTCGTTTCGTTTCACTTCATGTTGTTTAACGCCGCGCTGAGCATCAACCGAGTCAACGATCCTGACCACCCGATCCCGTTTGTCGCCTCTTACGATAAGCATAGTCGCCTTTTACGGCAAGAATGAGTTGCTGAAGACCTATTCTAACCCAGATCTTCACGGGACGCCTACCCAGCTAACACACGACGTTGTCACAACGTTGTGGAAAGGTTGTGGATTTGTAACGTCGTGATATTACGTTGTCACAACGTTGTTATAACGTCAACGTACAACGTTATTTCACAACGTTATAACAACGTTGCACATTCACGTTGTGAAAACGTTGTGCATTGGACATCACACAACGTTTTGTAGCTACGTTTCTGAAACGTCGGTGAAACGTTATAGAGTTTGCTTCTCGATAGTCATAAAGGAATAGAACTGCTTTATCAAAATCAACATGAATTGGTCAGAATACCAAGGCAGTAATGCATTACCTTTCTATATATTCGGCATTTAAATTTTCATCTCTTAATACTAAAATTTCCAGAACGTAATTTCGTTTCTCTATGACAACGTTATTCCACAACGTAACAACAACGTTGCAAATTAACGTTGTGATAACGTTGTGCTTTGGACATTACAAGACTTTTTGTAAATGATGTTTAGGAAACCACTAGTAGATCTACCATCTCTTAGTTTTATTTTTTTTAAACATATATATCTATAACGAAGTTATCTGTCTACAAAATGTTGTCACAAGCAATATTACAGTTACAAACAATTGCGCCCATTTTTTGCGGCGTGAGAGCGACTGCTGAAAAGTTTAGCCTGTTGCCTCGTGAAGTGACGTCAGAATGACGTCACATTGTCGCGGAAGATTTGTTGTCACCAGCCATCTTAGTTCAAGCTCACTCTAGACATATTTGAAGTCTACAACCAAGAGATTGTGCAGCAACTGGAACTGGACAGAAGATCTGTGAATTCGGATGAGGTAAGTTAATTTTTCAGAAGTAGCCTACGCTTGTTGATATGTTTCTGTACATGCAGATCGTCAAATGATTTAAATGTATCGTATTATTCAGCAGTGGCAGGGTTTAGAATCCAGTTTGCCGGTCACTTTCACTGAGCGTCAGTGTTGATATTAATATTTGATACACAGAACATGATGTATATAGAGGTGAAGGAGGCCCAAGACTTTTTTCCATATTATTATTTTATGGATACCAAGGGTAATTACCAAGGGCAAGCAGTATATGTTTGACCAGAATTCAGTCTGGCGGCGTTTTGTGGCCGTCATATTATGTTCGGGTTTCGATCGTAAACGTGTAGGTCTGTAAATAGGCCTAACTGATGCATCGCCTACTGACCACTGACAGTTATCGCCATTTCTTCCGTGTTATTTCGGAAATCATTACTATTCAAAGTTTACTTGTACTAATCTTCGGACTTTGATTTTTGTGAAACGATGTGGCTCATTCAGGCCATGGGAAAGGTTTAATAGATTTCTCTTATACAGCGAAGAGAGGGAATCAAAACAATGGAAGTATTTTCAGATCGACTCTCTGTGGGCTACTAGAAATAGCCTTAGTCTTAATGCGCTCAATGATGTTATGAAAAATTGTATTTTCGGGAAGAGATAGAAACATACTTGTTGTTTCCGAAAAGGCCTAATTAGCACTGACTGAAGTAGCCTAAATGTGGACCATCAGGTTGTTGGTCCTGTCTATACTTTTTATTTTAGCAAGGCTCTTATAATGGTGTATTTTTATTATTTCCAAAAAAGAATCAATTCATCATTTTCCGATAACTAGATCTATGTCCCGACTCTCTTCTCTTCTAACGAGCAAAAGTAAAACGAGTCTCCCGTCGCGCGCTATGACGGGGTTGTTTGCGGTATTGTCATATTGGTGATGATAAGCTAGTCGATAGTCAAAAGTTAAATATCACCATATATTGTCAGTGAGTTGGTCATCGTTTGTTGATTATTAAGGTGAGATAGGTGTAGCCAGTGTGCACCAATGAAAAATACAATGGAATTGATAGCAACCCTATTCATTCGGTTTTCGATCTCCATATGTTGCCACGTAGGCTACCATACTAGGTCAACAGAATTATATTTAACGATATTGAACTGTATTATGTTAATAAACGTAGTAACAAATAAATTTCAATGAATATTTACAGAGCTGTTTCAACTTCGTCTGGTATTGTATAAGCTATTGCATTTTGTTAATTTTCCCATAATCACAATTTTAATTAGGATAAATACCCCAAAGTGTTAACACTTCTATTCATAATTCATATTCAACATTCATGCTTCAAATATGGGAACTATTTATTTTATTTGGCAATATATATTTTTCATTTATGTATATATTTTTCAAATAAGGTTTGAGAAACTTGGCCAACATATTCACTTGAATCACTAGTCTGTGATGTACAGCAGAAGGGTAAAGTTACTGCTTTTGAATAACTACAGTTGATCTATTGACTGATAAAACTATTTGCCAATACTACCACCAGTTACATCATACTCTAAGTAAATGTGATTTATCTATACAGTACTGGTTTATTTAAAAATGTGATACTTTGTGGTTTGTTTTTCTTTCAGGTGGAGAAAACAGTATTGTGGGAGCATATTTGTTTAAAGTACATCACTGACAGAAAGGTATGTATGATGCAATAATATATACAAACATCTTCAAGAATTAAAATTTAGATGATTCTTATTTAATTATACCCACAATCTAAAAGGGCGGGGGTATAAAGTTACACCAATGATTCAGTGCTAATAGCTTTTCTGCCTATGTATGATCCAAAAGCATCATGGTATTACTGTCAGCGCCTTCTTCGCACTTTCAGCAGTTTTTAACTGTTTAAAGACTTACATCAGACATCAAAATATTATTTTGGGGAATGCAACCATTATTTTGTAATGTCAGAAATATGTCCCTTGCCTTGCCATTTTATAACATTTGTGTCATTTTTTATTCAGTTACCAAGGCTTAAGGAGAGACTATGGATACAGTTGAAGATCATCCCTGTGACTTTTCATTTGAGGACTGAAAAGGCTCCTCAGCCACTCAGCCCAAGTTCTGACTTGTCATTTTATAAATAAATAAAGGTCACCTCAACCAGAATTCTATTGTCATTTCGTTGCTGGGAAATGGATCTTAGGACAGCAGATGCATAGACTATTCTGTTTGTCACAGTGTTTCTCTCAATGCTGAATGTATGGGGTAAGACCAAGAAAATGTAAATGTTTCAATTTGTGCAGGGCTTATTGTTTGATGGTTTTTAATTTGCAAATTCGTGGGACAATCAAATATCTTTTAATTGTGTTGAAACATTTGTGAACAATTTGCACAAAGCCTTGAAAACTGTTTTGGAAAATAAATATTATATAACCAAATTGTACATGTAATTTAAAACATTTAGATTTTTATCTTGGCCGTATTTCAAACTCTGCCAAAAGAGAGTGCATTTCATTGACTTGCTGTTTCACGGATAGGGTAAAAGTGAATTCAGTTTGCAGAATGTATTGCTTGGTACCTGATGTCTTAACTAGATTGGTACCTAATGTCTTAACTAGATTGGTACAAACTTTTCAGGCTGCCTGGGAGGTATTGAGGAATAAGACAGGCGTTAATCTACATGTACATTGCAACAACGTGCTGCAATGGCTGTAGTGTCGCCATATGTATGCGATACCTACGTTGTCGCGACGTTTTGGATAAACGTTGTAGCAACGTAGAAAATGGATGTTGTGACAACGTCTTGATTTGGTTGTATTTTGGTTTACGCACAACGTTGTAGCAACCAATCTGGGAGTCTACAGATTTACTTTGTGACAACGTTTCATCACAACGTTGTAGCAACGAAAAGTCAACGTTGTCACAACGTTGTCACAACGTAGAATTGTTTGCTGGGTATCAATGAAACAGCTAAGATGTTCAAAATGATAGAAATGTGATTGATATTTCTCAAGTATGCATATGAAACAGCACAACAGTTTCCAGACGTCCAAGAACTCGGAGAAAACGACGACCGAGCACTTTGAAAAAGAGAAAGGAATGCAAATTATCGTTTTTACGAGTGCTTGGTTTTCTTATGATGTTATCCATTTCTAAGATTCTATACTCATCTTACAGCACAATATCAATCATTTGTTTTTCTGTATTAATCTATAATTTTTCAATTAAGTGGAAAAAATATGATCGAATATGACAGAAAAGGGCAAAATTCAGTATAATTAAATTAAAATCATTTCGATAATCCTAATTATATCATAAACAACGTTCTGCAGAGCAAAGGAAAAGTTTTTATGTTCATTATCAACATTATGGAGATATCCGATGCCCAAATATGTTTCCATCATTCGGACATACGTAGTAGTCTAAAATAGTTGGTTTTGAAAAAGTCCATATGTACGCCGAGACAAGGGGCATTGCTCATGGGGATATGATATCAATATAATTGCCTTGAATTGATAAAGTTATCATTTTCTCAAAAACGTGAAATTAAATAATAGAGCTACTGTTATTGTAAAAACTTAAGAAATATTTCCCAGTCCCGATCTTTGGTTTCAGCACATTATGCTTGAGATTAAAGTATTCAATGTATCATTAAACTGTCTTTGAAATCTTAGATTACAGATATTTTGTGAATTGAAATCATACAGACCACCTCTCAATGATACAGAACAGCAGCAAAACAAAGAAATAATTGCAACCTAAGATCATGTTGCATCGGGGCAATCTCGAATATTACCAGCAAGGCAGCGTTTTCTGTTTTGTAAAAAACATATTTAGGCTCGCATCTTTCATTAAAAATATAAATCTGGTTTTGCAGATACAGCTGAACAACAGCTAGTCTTGAAACAAACTCCACGCCCTCCTCGTAACAGATGAATATATACACGTGCATATAAGTAACACGTAGTAAGTTTATGAATGAAGTCCACTCATATTTACAACATGTAACAATCACCTATATAACCTCAGTGCCCATTCTGAATTCAACAACAAGGGTTAAAGACAATTGAAACCTTAAAACAAAACATTTAAAATCTGATGTAGCCTATTGAAAGCACATATTTCCCTTTAGATAAATGGAAGAAAGAGTGAGGGATACAGCTACGCGTACGGAGGGAGTATTGAGCAACTGACCGATTTAACAGAACTTCTACTACAATAAGTCTTTATTCCATTTCCAAAAGGCAATAGTCTAACTTAATCACGACTAACTGTTAACGAGTGACAGTAGAAACGTTTGACAACTGGGATGCTGATTGATTAATTCGGTCATGACTTATGCTGTTGTAGTTCTATTCTTTTACAAATGTAATTTACTTACTCTGACATGGACACTGTTCGTTTGTAACATCAAAGATACTTTGGAATTCAGCCTTAGCATTTTCTAGTTGAGTCAAAATGCCAGCGAGCTTGTCGGGGAGCTCATCTGGTCCAGGCTGAGATCCCAGTGATGGCGCAAGGACAGCCAGGAGGACAATGAAGAGACCGTTGACAAACATCGTCATGTTGATTCCGATTGACTTTTCGCCTCCCCCTTAAGAGTTATTATAAGCATTTAAAATTCTCGTGGACCAGTAGATACCTGTCACGTGTCCAGGTGCGTCACCCACGTGGTAATATATACCACGCTGTATGTAATTGATTTTGATAAAGATTTGTGCAAACCGCAGCATATTTTTGCGAATTGAAACGGATGCTAAGGTTCTGGTTTTGAAATGCATTTTGAATTGGTCAAAGGGCATGATACAATCGTTGGTGTAAATCAGATTACCCTGAACAGTCGAGACATAAACGCAGATAATTATAAAAGGAGTCATAAATTTGTTTGTCCTGTTTTGTGATGATTCAGTGTGGCATGACCTCAAAACAGTCATATGAACAAGATCAGCTGGTGACACTTACTAGATAACAGTCATATGAACAGGATCAGCTGGTGACTCTCTCTAGATAGCAGTCATAAAAACAGGATAAGCCAGTGACACTAACTAGATAGCAGTCATATAAACAGGATCAGCTGGTGACACTTACTAGATATCAGTCATATAAACAGGATCAGCTGGTGACTCTAACTAGATAACAGTCATATGAACAGGATCAGCTGGTAACTCTCTATAGATAAGTCATATGAACAGAATCAGCTTGTGACTCTGACTAGATAACAGTCATATGAACAGGATCAGCTGGTGACTCTCTCCAGATAATAGTTATATGAATAGGATCAGCTGGTGACTCTCACTAGATAGAAGTCCTCTGAACAGGATCTGCTGGTGACTCTGACTAGATAACAGTCATATGAATAAGATCAGCTGGTGACTCTCACTAGATAAAAGTCATATGAACAGAATCAACTGGTGACTCTGACTAGATAACAATCATATGAAAAGGATCGGCTGGTGACTCTAACTAGATAACAGTCATATGAACAGAATCAGCTTGTGACTCTCACACGACAACAGTCATATGAACAGGATCAGCTGGTGACTCTGACTAGATATAAGTCATATGAACAGGATCAGGTGGTGACTCTGGCTAGATAACAGTCATATGAACAGGATCAGCTTGTGACTCTGACTAGATAACAGTCATATGAACAGGATCAGCTGGTTACTCTGACTAGATAACAGTCATATGAACAGGATCAGCTGGTGACGCTTACCAGATAACAGTCATATGAACAGAAAACTAATGGCCATACTTGAGTGTGGCACGGAGATAAAGCAAGCCTATGGCAAATTAAATCAGGGAATTTGTTCGATTTAAGGAATACCACACGAATATCAATGAGGCTTCGGGATAGTTTAGCAGTAGTTTCTGCACACTTGTATATTCAATTCCAATTAAAAGTCTGGGCATAACAAGTGATTGAAATTTGAATGTATGTCCCGCTTTGCACTTGAGGAAAGGCAAGAAGGCCCTTCTGAGTTCCCTTCTCGATACACCGGCACTGCCATTTCGCTGTTTTAACAAACATATACTTGTACTTACTTTTATTGTTGCCTTGATGCACTTTCAGACGAATGCAACTGTATGTCATACTGTTGGCAGAGAGGCCGTGCCTGTCTTAGTATCTTTCACTCACTCACTCACTCACTCAGGAGCTCAAGAAAATGGAATTTGCTTTTACACGTTATCCATCTCCCAGTCTCCCAGTATACCAGATTGGTGCGCAACCATAAAATGTCAATGCCAGAGAATGACCAGTCTCGTTATCCACTCAAACAGATTCCAAGGGGCGTAAGAGGCAAAATGGCAGTACAAATTATATGAATGAATCACTGAAAATAAGTGATGACTCCAGGTGTTCGCAAAAACCTTATTTGTACATATTTTTCTAATGGACCTTTCCCTTTGCTGTACGTCACATGAGGATTGAGCATGGAAATATTGCACGACTGTTGTGAATCTAAACACACTTTGTTTACATTAAGAAATATCTGTTGAAACGTTTAGTTGTGGCCTTAAAGCAAAAGTCTTTCCCAGTATCATTTCACATTCATGGTCTGTTGTCTCAAATCAATATTTATGTAAGGGAGTTATGAAGTAAGACGAGTTCTATGGATGAACAACTTCTTTATTACAATTAGTGCGACGTTTCGGTGTAGATCCTAACACCTTTATCAAGCAAGTGATGATTGCTTGATAAAGGTGTTAGGATCTACACCGAAACGTCGCACTAATTGTAATAAAGAAGTTGTTCATCCATAGAACTCGTCTTACTTCATCACTCCAACTTCTCAATGCCACTCAAAGAAGTTAAGGGAGTTATATTTGCATATTAGCCAGGTAATCTTATTTTAATCTCAGCTCGTCTAGTACTCAGGGTATACCACGTCGGCATTATCTGTGCATTATCCAGGTCCATCCCAATTTAATGTTTCATACCGGTGCGAGCTGTTTGTTTATCCCTTGTCATTTTTTTCAAAACAGTGACTGGTTCGACAGACGTCAGCCTCGTGATGTGTTCAAAAGATAAAAGTTTTTTCACATACCATGTTTTTTTTATATATATTGTAGATTAATGTAAAGTAAATTATTATATCTGATATGCCTCACATTAAGCTGAATGTTGCTTAACGCGTCAGCAATATTGAGAAGTGTCAAATCGTGAGCATCTGTCTACTCCATTGAGGTAAGATGAGCCCCAATCAGAGCATCACACCCGGTGACACTTTCATTTTGGCCTTACGTGAAACATGATGTCATGGCGACCTTTTCTGAACTAGAATCTCGTTTACTGTCAAATACAGGTAAGGTTAAAATGATTGATATACCAAGGAACTTGCAGACTTTTTACCATGTTCAACCTGAAACATCATCACCACCACCAACCATCACATCAGCATACAATTCGCCTCAGTACCTACCGTCATTACCCCTGTTCTATCACACCAGCATCTGCCCCGCCTCATCGCCCGTCATTTTTATGTGAAACGTATTCCTAAATTTTAAAGGGGCTCAGTTTGCATGTAGAACAAGGATGATACAGTGAGTGAGTGTGAGTGAGTTTGATGTTTAACGCCGCACTCAGCAGTATTGCAGCTATATGACGGCGGTCTGTAAATAATCGAATTTGGACCAGACAATCCAGTGATTGACAACATGAGCATCGATCCACGCCATTCGGATCGATGGCATGCATCAACCAAGTCAACGAGCCTGACCACCCGATCCCGTCGATGATACAGTAAACTACGGTTATAACTTATAACAAACTCAAAGAGACCACTACTTTTAGTTCGTTATAACCGTAGATCGTTATGAGCATATATACACCATATATACAGCAAACGGACGGGACCCCCTAAAACGGTTCGTTTTATCCGTCAGTTCGTTATACGAGTGTTCGTCATATACGTAGTTTACTGTATTATCGAAAATGTAATCTTTAATGTTCACAAGTTAGGGTATGGGATGATCTCCAGAATATTTGCTTTTCTTATAAAATCAGTTTTCTTTTATTAGGACTATATTAAGACTATCATAACTTTGACAACTTACCATCCGATTCCATCCCAACAAAATCCTTATACTGCGAATATATTGCTATTTGACAGTGATTCATAAACACATGCTCATGATACTATTATGGTTCTGTGTCTGATGTTCAAAACCTTCCAGGGGCGGTCGGGTAGCCTAGTGGTTAAAGCGTTGGCTCGTCACGCCGAAACCCGGGTTCGATTCCCGACATGGGTACAATGTGTGAAGCCCATTTCTGGTGTCCCCCGCCGTGATATTGCTGAATATTGCTAAAAGCGGCGTAAAACCATACTCACTCACTCAAAACCTTCCAAATGGCAAGCTGGTTTTCATGGGGAATTAGTCACATGAGACTAATTACAATTTTATTTACAGGAACAGTGTCTCATGAACAACATGCAGCTGAGAGTGCCACAGCGGGTCGGTACAACTCTCGTGGCCGTGGGTGAGAGGTCTGCTTGATTTGAGTGTCAAACCCCTGATGCTTAACATCCTGCTTCTCTATGTATTTAACTAAAATTTAGAACAATAAATAGAATATAACTGGTTGTTGATACACAATGGGGTTTGCTATAGATATAGACACAGTTTTATTTCCATAACTAACCACTCACAGAAGTACATTGACATTAATGCAAGCCAGTCGTTTGATTAACAGATGACACTCGCATGACTATGATTATGAGAGTATACATTAGAAGTTTTTAAGGAAACAGGAGATAAATCTGCTGCGGTTTCTTAACACTGGGACCTTAGGAGCACAACATAGTTGTTGTACTTTATGGTAATTAGGCTTGACATAACAGTACGTTTTAAGTAAGCGCTCACGATCAGTTTCAAAATGTGTACACTCAAACAAGTAGTGAAACTCGTCAAGGACAGTCATATTACAAAGTGAACAGTCCCATCAACATTGGGTAAGTCTATCCATCGTCCCCTCTCAACAGGTAGAGAGTGGTTGATGGTTCTAAACTTAGTCAATAGTAACAGTCTTATATTATCTTTTTATAAATAGAGGGTTCAAGGCCAAATTCTCGTGTGATACGAGAGTAAAAGTTCCCTATTGATCGTTGTGCCATCCCTGTATAAACTGGTCTTGAAGTCTAATTTCTATTCTCAACAACAAAAGTTCCTGTGACACCAATATTTTTGGTTTTCAATATTGTAGTACATGTATGGAATCAAGTCATAAAAACGCAACTGCTACAGAAACGTATGCATTCGATGCAAAAGTTGACTTTTATGCAAGGCCCATGCATTTCACTACCCAAGAATGGGTATAAGAACATATGGATTCCATATGCATTGTTCAGCATCGTGCAGACAACAACCAAAACAACAAAATTACGCAATTATTCAACACTACGAAATGCCGCGCCTGTCCCAAAATGAGCGTCTGTGAGCCATTGGTGTGCTTGAAGCAGGATCGAGTCAACGTGATGTTGCAAGACAATTTAACGTCCACAGACACACCATTTGGTGTTTGTGGCAACGTTGGCAACAGACGAATGCAGTCAGGGACCATCCTAGGAG